TGGCATCGCTACTAGGAGCAAGGACGCTACTAGGGGCTCCTGGCCTTCTAGGAGCAAGGACGCTACTAGATATTACCCATCCATTTGCTGCAACCAGCCTTCTGAGGCTCTTCCGCTTGCTGCGGATTGGCAAGCTGGCCAGAGCTATCCGGATGGTGGCCATGAATAGCGTGTGGCTTGATATTCTGTCCATGATGCCAAGGGTCAAACGGGCGGTAAGAAACTGTTTCTGTCCGTGAATCACTGACACCCATGACTTTTTTGTCTCACACTCTTTTTGTGACCCGAGGCTTCAGTCGCTTCAAATCTTGACTCGGTGTTTGGTCTCTAGTACCACCATGCAACTTGGACTTTGTTGGAGCTCATCGCCAACAAACTCAACTTTCATGTGTCAGACGTTGTGTTCTCGAAGGAAGTTTACTTGTCTCTGACGAGTGACTCGTTGTTTGTCTTCGGCAAAGTCTTGTGGAACCAAGGCTTTTCTGGACCTTCCTTCTGCTCACGTTCTTCCAATGCGTTGCGGGCCTTGTAGCTGCCACTCTTGTTCGAGACGCACTCGAGGATGAGAACCTCGATTTGAGTGTCCGAATAGATGTATTCAGGCGCAATCATGGAACCTGCATCAGCCAGCGGCAACAGCCTTTCAACATGTACGATACAAACACAAACACACAAAAGAACATAATGCGTGTCATGTCCTTATTAAAGCCTCAAGCATTTCAAGGAACACCAATCAGATTGGTGAATGGATAGACTGGGACCTGAAATGTGGCAGAGTCTTCTCGACACCTTGTTTCTCCAAGTGTGAACCCATCCGATGGCACCTGCGTGCAGGTACTATGGAACCTTCACCCGCACCTTCCTATCGATGTTTGAAACTCGGAAAGCCCAGTTAATGTGGAAGGATCACTGTCAATGGGGAGGATCCGACATTTGCGTAGTCCTTGATATTTCATGTGCAAATTTGTGGATCACTGAAAAAGATCCCACGATTCGCCATGTCATGTGGGCAACGAAAGAACATCACTGCTAAGTACCAACCCTCGGCCTGGAGTTTGTACGCTTGTTCTTCAGCAGACGTGATTCTGTTGGGGGTTGTCCCAAGTGGCAAAATGCGCGCAAGAATTCCCGCGGTCGACCTCTTCAGTGGCTTCGTCGCATAACCTCTTGGATTAGGTCCCTGAAGCATCCTGAAGCACCATGCAGAGGCCGTTCTCGCAAGTACGTCGGCGAGTACGACAACTGAGGAAATACTCTTTGCTAATTGGAGCCCACCATGCCGCGTGCTGGTGGACAACATCAGCGAATGGTTTTCCGTGTTCTTCTTAATATACAGGTGCACAGCTGGCAAGACGGCATGTCAATGTCATTGTTGATGTCGATGTGGTGCTTTAATGTTTTCGTGTGGCTGCTTTGGGGCTACGCAAGATGACTGACTCACCACACTGGAAAGGCGTGACCCAAGCTTGTGATTCCAGAGAATCATTGTCAAACAACAAAAGGTACTTCTTTTGAGATCAGTACTTGGTAATAAGGATTGATGTCCAAGACCTAAGGTTGGTAAACCGGCATGGGGTAGTTCTTCTGCTAAGATTTCAACCTGCCAGCTCCAAGTGAGTTTTGACGGTTTGACGACGAAATTGACGCATTATTGTGTGGCAACCTTTGCCAAGGTGCCTCATTGGGTTTGCTGTGCTGAATCTTGGCCCTACTGTCAAATGCGCCAAACAATCGTTGATGTGAAAACGTTGTATGCAGCAGTCCAAACACTCCAAGAGTCCTCAACAACCAACGAACGCGGTCATTCATTCCCTTTGGCAAACAATTAGTCTAGCATGCTGCTGTTCAAAGTAAGAAGAGGTGGCAAAAGATTGGCTCATCAAGCAAGTCTGTGGACCAACCACGTGAGCACACTCAGGTGGTTCATGATGGATCCAAATTATTCCAAATTTGTTTGTTGCCTTTTCAGGGACCTCCATCAACCAAGATGCTGCACCTCGGAGGGTAGCGCAATGGTTGCTAGTTGATGTTGAGGGTGTTGGAGTTGGGACCCGTGCTGCCATGGAAGGAATGTGGTGAATGCCGTTTTTGTGCAGCAGACAATGAAAATCGACGCTTGGTTGCGCAGGTCAGCATGGCACAGAATATGCCCCTCTTTCCTAATTCGCTCAACTCGCCCACAGGAGATCCACAGATTCAGATTATGGTCCCAAATGAAGATTTAGTCCACGGAAAGCTGTAATGTGGGACCTAACAAATTAGCATCAGCGCCGCTGCGTGGGGAGAGACGTTCAGTAGCGCAACGTAGGAACCAGCAGCTTCATATGCAACGACATACACAAGCAAAAGAAAAGCTTGGGAACCAGGACAGCGGTGGAGGCAAACCAACAAGCAGGCAAGCAGGCTTGCAAAACAAGCCAGCGGTAGGCGACTGGCAAGCCAAGCAGCCAAGGCTACCAGCGATGAAGAATTGGCGTTCAAGCAGAAAGAGAGAGAATTGGCATCCTATACCCGCAAGGCCCGAAACCTTGCACATTGAGCTCAGTAATACTCAGTAACGCATGCACATGGAAATATAATGTTCACAACGCAATAAAAAAAAATGAAAAGTTGGTTGCAAGAATATTGTTCGTCGCAATGATAGACTTCTAGCAATAATGAACCTCAGACCTTAGGACTATGACAGCTTGTGATTAGTGTCTAAAACTGATCGACATTTAAAAGTAGTTCAAAAACTAATTCATTAAATCTTGAAAGAAGTTTTTATAGTTTTATTGCACAGGAGAAAGTTTAGATAAGTTTAGTTTATCATTGCAACAGTTTACAGGAAGTTCATTATTGTACAGGAGAAAGTCCGGTTTATTGTCACCTAAGAAACAGTTGAAATTGAAAGGACATTGTTTCTTGACCGTAGTTTATACTTGTAATTATGTTTGTATATCATTGGCACTCGCAAGGGGCACCCTTTGCCATTTTTTTTGAAGCTGATGTAAAAAGAATTTGACAAAAGGTACTCTAAATTACTAATCAAATTAAACTATAATTGGTTAAATAGTGGTTGAAGATTTGACAGAAAGAGGGTTTCTGTTGTACAGGAGAAAGTTCGGTTTGAGCAGGTTGATGATTGTATAGAAGTGGTACTTTTAAGCTTTTGATAAAAGATCTTGTAAGGGGTACTTTTGCCAAGACTTTTAGACTTTTTTTCATAAAGAGTTTGATGGTTTTGAGCTAGGTTTAAACTTGGATGTTGCTTAGGTTAGTTTAAGCTCTTTCCAGATACTATTTTGTCTAAAAAGAGGTTTAAAGTAGGTCTGTTATTGTAGAGGAGCAAGTCCAGTTCATTATTGATGCATACTAAATACGCCACATAAGCTCAAACATGTTTTTTAAGGGCAGAACGTGTAGTCTAGTATTGCAACCTACTAGAAAAGCGGGTTATTGTTGTAGGGGAGTAAGTCAAGTTGACAATTGTATTGATCATATTTCTTTAATTGACGCACCCTCTATTGTAACCTTCGTTTATGAGTTAATTAGCATTGCATGGTTTCGGTAGACAGAAGATGTTTGGAACTGACTCGTGTTTTACTATTGCGATGTGAACATTACATTTTCCCCAAACACTGTGGACACACTATGGGTTCTTACAGTAGTAGTTAAGCACCGGTGTGTCTAATCAAGGTGTTGTACTGGGCGTTTGGCCAATTCGCTGCTAGTTACAGAACAGCCTCTCAAAATATTTTGACCGCGCAGGCTCGCAAAATCTGGTTGGCTGGAGCGGGTGCTTGTCGCGACTGCGCTCTCGTTGTGGTGCCGTGCGCATTTTCGGACATGGTGGTCACTTTTGGTGGCAGGCGCAAGGGAAACCTCGTGTTTTGGTGGTCCAAAGTCGAACTTTCGTGACAGGTGCAAGGGATCGGAGCGGTTGTGCTTCGGGCTGCAGATTTCGTGGCAGGCGCAGTACTTTGGACACGGTGGTGGTCTTCGACGTGACTTTTGGACATGTGGCTCGTTTGCAGGCTTCGAGGCAGGCGCAGCACTTTGTGAGCCTCAAAGTGCGGATTTCGTAGCACACGCAGCACTTGGTGAACCTCGATCTTGGTGACCTCGATGTGCAGATTTCGTGGCAGGCGCAGCACTTTGCGCTTCCCTCCCTCCTCACTCACGCTCGCACTCACTCTCACACTACTCTGACTCTCCCTCTCACTCTCACTCAATGTGACACTCTCGCTCACGCTGGCTCACCTCTAGACCTCACACACACTGTTTGGGGTCTCTACTAAAGGATGAACGATTGGTTGTGTTCAGCTTGCCCGGCTTGTCCGGAGTTGCCCGCAACCCAGGCCTACCCATGTTCCATCTTGTTGGGGGTTGGGGGGGAAGCGTAGGAAAATTTGTGTGCTGAGCATGACATCGGGGCATTTTCATGATTGTTTGATGCCTGCCGCAGGTGAAAAACCTCTTTGCGACCATGGACCAGAGTGGCGATGGTGTCATCAACTTTGAGGAATTTTCAAAGCTGGTTCAATCACCAATGCTCCAGTTCCTTTTGAGCCAGCACCTTGCCGAATCCGTCTTTGCTTCGTCCCCTCTGTCCTCCTTTCTCCCTTGATGATTGGGTCATAGCTGGGAACATCTCGTTTGGTTTTGGCATGAATGTTGTCGCCTCTCTGTAGGGGGGCTGCGCGTTGCTTTGCGCATGTTGAATGGAATCAGTTATATAACTACCAATTTGTTGGTTGTCGTTTTGCATTTAGAAGTGACCTTAAGTAATTCTGAGCCGTTCTACTCTAGAGTCTTAAAAGCTGGTTGTAGGGTTGTCAAGGTCACTTTGATCTTCGATGTTTGAACTTCCTTGCTGTACCCCTTTTGTTTGGTTCAGACCGACTGCAACCCAGTAGGTCACCTTCGAACACTTCAAGTGTACGTACTGTAACTTTTCTCACTACCACAGCGTGGCTAGAATTCTGGAGCCTTTCGGGTTAATCTACTACGAACCCGTGTCGTCCGAGAGTGAACATGAATGTGATTGTTGCACAGGTTTCTGAATTTCCTTGGCAATGGTCAGTGGTGTGTTATCGTGAGAATCTCATAACAAGTGAGAATGTTTGTGTGCTCCGCGCTTGCTGAAGCTGGCACAAGTCTTGCAGGAGGTCAACTTTGGGGAAGTTGAGTAAAGTTTGCTAGAGAAGGACGAGAAAGTAGTGACTGGAAGCACGGACGTTTTGTAATTGTATTCCTTGCTGTTGTACTCGTACACGTTGTCCCTCTCAGACCGTTTCTGCAGTAGGCAGCGATCCTGGGGCCATTGTAATGGTCCATATTAGGAATTTCGGAGATCACCGGTCATACTACAAATTATTACATATGTATATTCAGTGGGAGTGTACCCCTTATGCTGTAGATATATATATATATATATATTTATGCATTTCCTGGAGACTCTCATGTGTTTCATGTCCTTGCTCTAGCGCAAGCAACCAGAGTATGTACAACCACGCTATGACGGTGTCGTCGCAAGAACGCTCACCCAACCATTGATGCTCGGCAGTGGACTTAGGCGGTTCTGGACTACCCTATCCCAGCGGCACTTTTGTTGAAACTCGCTAGGGGCTAGCGGATAGCATGATATCAATACATGTCATTAGCCAAACGTGCCATTTTGGTTCAAGCAGTGAAGATAATAGTTACCTGGGATAGTCGCCAAAAAGATAGAGAAGTTGAGACATAGGATCGATATGCAAAACTCCCCAAAGCAGGTAGAAAATCTGATGCAACATTCTCAAGCGCGGCACAGTTACGGCGCTCATTTTTGAAACCACCGCCTTGAATTCCGGAGCATCCCCCAAGAGCCTCAACGACTTGGAAGCAGGATTCGTTTTGCGTAGGTCTTATCAAGACCCCCAAAAAAAAGGCCCAGGTAGCACTTTGCAGATGTACCGTTTCATGCTTCTCCTCACTGCAGCCATCAAGACCTGGGGTCAATGGCGGTGCGCTTTTCATGTTCTAAAAGAAGGTCGGTTTAAAAGATGAGGCCGAAGCCTGAAGCAGTCCGCATCCCATCATCAGGCCATCAGGCCGCTGTCAGCCTCTTCCTAGCCTCGTCCTTCGGATCCAGCTTGTCTTCCTGATCCTTCCGGTCCTTCTAGTCCTTCTTGGAACGTCGGCGCGGCTGTTTTGGATTCTTGCCGGGGGTAAAAGTTTTAGATCCACCCCCTTGACCGGCGGTGGCCAGAGGAGCGATCAAGGAGGGCGAAACTTTAAGATCCACTTTTGAACCGCCTATCTTGCCCTTGAAAGAGATGAAGGAAACACCCACAATCCATACCCTTTAGTTGCTTCGAGACACAAGGGGTGGATTCCTAAAGTGGGTGAAATTTTAGAACCTCCCCACTTAGCCGGTGGCGATCGCAGGAGCGACCAAGGGGGATTGAAACTTCTGCTTCACTTATGAGCTGGTCATGGGGGTTTCTAGATCAAACCTCTGCTGTCATTGCAGCACGAATGTCCGATCCAATCCGGGTTCCACGTTTCTCGCGGTCCTGCCCTAACAAAGCCACCACTGGCCAGGCGCCGGCGGCAAGCGGGCGGGTGACTGCAAAAATGCTAGAACACATCGCCATCACAGGGTTGAAACTGTAAGTTGACGTAGATTGAAGTTTCTCCTTGTTCTTAGTCTTCAGTGTCTCCAGCTCACGGTGCTACTGACTTGACGTCGCACAGGTTTTGATTGAAGTGCTGATTACGATGTCATTTGACAAGTTCTGGGTGATTGCTTCTGGCAACGAACTGCGCAGCAAAAGTCCAGTGAGATGAGTACGTATGGCGCTTACAAAAATAGGTGTTGGGTTCGGGGAGACTTGGGGGCCCTTCTTTTGGTGCACCATCGAACACATGATTCACGTTTGGAAGTGCAGTCAGTGAGTAAACCCACAAAGGGTTGCAGTTGGCTTTTGGAAAGATTTCGCATTGCAAGGTTGGATTTGGAATACCATGATTTGCTCAGCCTCTTTGAGTTTCTAGACAACGGTGATGGCGAGATCACCCTCACGGAGCGGCAGGGTTGCAAAAACCGCGCACGATGGCAACGAGATACGGTTTCTAGAATTGACGTCAACGAGTGGATGTTGATGAGTTTTGCGTGCGCGGCTGAAATCCACAAATGTTTGGTTGGTTTGTCGTTGCCAACTAACCGACCTCATGCAGGAGTTTTTGGATGGCGCTGCAAAACTCAGAGGGGGAGCAAAGGCTTTGGACATTTGGCGCATGGAAACCAAGATTGAGGCAACCTGGTGATTGATGAGCTAATGCAGCCTGACGAAGCTCCAGCGAACAACGTAATGTTGCGACAATAAATGCACGCGTCAAAAAACTAAGGGTTGCTGCGGTCATTCCATCGGACGCGTTTGTGTCTCAAACGCAGACCGCGTGTGACGATATGTTGGATACATTTTACATATGGGGAAACATGCCTCCAAACAGTTTTTGACAATCAACGAGGATCGTGAAACTGAAACGTGTAAAACACAATTATATTTATATATGAATATTTAATACGTACAAGCGCGGCCAAACACATGGAAGGGAAGGGATCAAAACGCCAAAACAACACGAAATTGGAGGCCATTCCAGCAGCCATTTGTCAATTGTCATATGCATTTGTCCTGCTGGATTGGCCATTCGACCCCCGGCTCTACTTTCTTTGGAAATTCCATCACAATGGGATGTTTTTGTTGCCCTGCCTTACGTCCATTCCACTCGTTTCAACGTGGATGTAATGTATTCCTCATACCTTATCGCCTATCACTTGTTGTCAAACGGTTTGCGACCTGACCCGTGGCATTACAGGACCGCATGTGTTTCACATCATTATGTGTTTCTCGCTACCTGGCAGACTGCTCATTAGGGACATGTGTGGCGTATGGTTTGACGCAATGCCATTTTCCAGGAACATCAATATGATTGAACCGAATGTTCCTTTGTAAGAGTTGTACTCAACATGCTCTCAAATATATAATATAGTACTAATATAGTTATATATATAAACAGCATATAAAACCTAAAAATGTCTCTACACTGTTCTCGAATGTGTAGTCTGGGCATCTGTGGGCTGGACCCATGTCCGCCTTGTGTTGTTTCATATCCGCGTTGACTCTGCTTGTCATTGTGCCTCCGTGATTGGCAATAAGTTTCACCATGGAAACTTTTGTAAGAGGTCTTGGATGGATGGGCGACGTGTCCGATTCGTGTGACTGTTATATACAAGTGTGAGAGTGTGACGGCTGATTTCACAGCGTTTTGCGTTATCACCTTGTGTCGCCATCACATGTGGCGTTCGCAGGGTGGCTTCGACGTGTTGAATGTCGCTGTGCTGATTTGTTAGTGACAAGTCTGAGGTCAATTCGCGCCTTGAGGGCTCAACAATTTGTCGAAAGCGTTCCAACAGTGTGTTTGCCTGGCAGGTGCTACTGTAGGAATCGTGAGGTTGCAACATTTGTCAGGTGAGTGTCGTTACGGCATTTGGTTTGGCATGTCAGCGGCTGCTCTTTCGAGAGGGGCTTGGGTTGTGAAACTTCTTGGCTGTGCTCGCTCTTATGAAGCTTCCTAGCTTCACTTTGCTTTTGGAGGGCAAAGGAGTGTCCTATACAAGAGTGCCCTGCAGGAGTTTCCGGCAAGAGTGTCCTACAAGAGCGCGACACAAGACTGTCCCCGCAAGAGTTTCCCGCAAGAGTGTCCTACAAGACTGCACCACAGCAGTCCCCGAACAGAGTGCCCTACAACAGTGTCCCACAAGAATGTCCAACAAATGCCTTACAAGAATGCGCCAAGAGCCGCAAGAGTGCCCTACAAGAGTGTCCTACAACAGCGTCTCACGACAGTGTCCTACACAAGATCCACAAGAGTGTCCCACACAATGTCCGACAAGAGCGTCAACAATGTCCCGCAAGAATGTCCCAGAACAGTGGTCCACAAGACTGTCCCACAAAAGTGTGTCCTAGAAGAATGCCGTTTACAGGAGTGTCCAGCAAGAGTGTCGCACGCGAGTGTTTGACATGTGTACGGCACCAGCGTGTCCAGTCGGAGGAGTGTCGCACAAGAGTTTCAGGCATAAGTCATAAGTGTGACACGAGCGTGTTCTACAAGCGTGTCCTAGAGTGTCACCCCAGAATGCCCTGCTTCAAGAGTGTGAAAAAACTTCAAACATCTTCAAACAATGTTTTGCTACTTGTATTTGCGTAGACGGTGTTTGCATTCGGGTTCGGGGGGGTTCTATCAGGTCTTCTCTTGTAGAAAATCAATGAAAATCATTTCATATTACCATACGTTACATTGGACTTTATGTTGCAAGGGTTGCAGGCAGAATCAAGTGTGCAAGTTTTTGAATGTTGCACTATTTACTGAGTTTTGTCAATGTTGTTTCAGGTGACTATTGTTGCGATGTCTGTTGCAGTCAATGTGTTGCTGAGCTGTGTCCGGTTTTTGCAAGGTGTGTGTTGTCGTGCAACCGCGCCTCAAACAAGCGTCAGGTGTTGTTCGTCGAAGTGCTATCAGCACTGAGAGGGAACGTTGATGTGCAAGAGGCGGGCCTATCTAAACAAGACCTTGTTACAACTGTATTCAGCAATGTTTGCTATTCAGTTTGTCGTTCCATGAAGTTCGGTGCGTTCGTTGCAAATGTTGACAAACCATGGTAGTTTTAAGTCGATTGCTCATGTGTCCAATGTCCCACCGTTTGACCAAGCATTTGTTGTTTCATCCAATTGTCGTGATCTACAGCAACCTGACCCTCATGGCTAGCTACCGGACCCTCATGGACCCTGCATGCGTGACCGTCTCTTGCCGCACCGACCACGGAGGCCTTTGAAGAACAGGGTTTCCGGCATGTGACCTTCTCCACAGGCAACAAGCGCTTGACAACGGTGCAGCAGAGCAGCTCCAAAGAGCTTGCGCTCGACTGAAGGACCCAATGCAATCAGGACGGCTTTAAGAGCAGTCCGCCCTGGGTCTGGGAAGACCTAAACGATTTTTTTTCTCGTATGGCTGGCATGTGTAAGATAGGCGACCACTGGACAGACAGCACGCGTGTATCAATGATGTGCAGCTCTCGTTTGTTGTAAAAGCAATAGCTAGTGCTTAGTGTTGACCACCAGAGCCAGATGACCCTAAAGCCAGAAGAGGTAACTGGGCTTCTCATAAGAGACTTTGCAAACACCATGATGCCGTCAGCCGTCTTGTTGAAGAGCCAGTTTGGACAAGTCCAGCACTGACAGTCACCAAAGGTCACCAAAACCATGTGGTTGGTCAAAAGGCTCGTTAACTTCGCGCTTGTGAACTCAATTAGCTTAGCACTACACATAATACCGGTTTCCGGCAAGTGTAACTGAAAAGAAAGAGCGTTGAAAATTGAAAGCGTACTGTTCAGGCAATGCAGTCCTGGCATGTGTGGGTGGTGCTTCTCTTGCTCTCTTGGTGCTTTGCTGATTTGCATTGCACCGATTTGAGCCAGCCAAAAAGGTGACGAAGAACGAGTCCTGCTGTCAAGCCTCGACCAGAATTGTCAGAGTGCTGTCGCTGGACCGTCTTTTTTCAAAGTCTTTAATCCAATCCTGCCCCAAGGGCAGTTGAGGAAGGCTTAAGCTCATGTGGTGGTCCTGGCAAAACTATGATGCAAAGATGCAGAACTGCTTCGGTAGAATTTTCCAGATACTTCTCGCCTGTGTCACATGAGTTATAACATATTCTTAAATGCATTGACATGTTCAAAAAAGCAAAATAATCATTTCGCGAGGGACCAATTTGCCTGAGTGCAGCATAGCCGGGGCTGTTGGAAAAGTGGAATGGAAAGATCCTGATCTACCAAAATCAAAATCGGTGTTTATGTCAAACTTGCATATATTTGCACGATCTTGGTTACATTCCCCTATGCAAGTGACAAGAGGCCAACAAGAGTTCTGTTTCCACATAAGACTTGTGTTCCGTGCCTTTCCCATGATTGAAGTGCGCGGTCATCAGCACATCTCTTGAAGATGATCGGAACATATTAGACTTGCAGATTTCGGAAATGGAATCGGAACACCATCCAGAGCGTGCTAAGCAACATCAGGTCGCTCCTCCATTGGCAGCTGCGATTCTAGCTTTGAGGCGCTTGATGCGACATCGAGTAGCCCAGCAGGTGAAACCATCGGTTGGGCATAGGTTTCAACAAGACAAAGTTTGGGGTACACCAAGGGGGAGAGCCGCTGCTCCGACCAGAGTGACCGGAGCCGCAAGAGTCGCAGGGGACAGAGGAGCCATTTAGTGCTGCGAGCTCGTGGTGCTTTCAAGGGCTATGAGACCAAGCGTGGGGCTCTCAGCTGCAATGACAGCCCGTCTACAGGTGTCCACCACACCATCCAGCGTAGCACAGCTGCAGGTTGACCCCTGGCTGCTTCGGCTGGACATAATGACCCAAGGATACCCAATGTAAATCCAATATTGATTAAAGTATATATCTGAAGTGAACACAATGAGAAACTGACTATGGCATTTGCCTCCATAGGGGAGTTGTCGACATGGCATCCTTGCCATTTCCTTTGTTTTTTTTCCACTTCCTTCTTGCATTTATATATTGATAATATCAGTTGCATATTAATATGACTATTTTGCATGATTTCGAGAAGTAGCGTTCATTTGGAGTATCATACTCCGCATGTCGCTGTCGCTCCTCGTGTTCTTGTGTCAGTCATTCAAGGTATTGATACGCAGCCGCCAGGGCCTGATTCCGAAAAGGTACCATTTCGTGAGGTCAGTGTACCGAAATGGACTCCGACCAGGTTGTGGCAGCAAACTAAGCAGCAATCCACTGAGCAATATGAGCCATGCAGAGCCAGCCTTAAGCAAAAGCTCGGGATATGTCAAGAGTTCTTTCCGAGGGGCATGGCACCTGAGACGGAGGTAGATGTACTTGCACTTTCTCAGGAGCATGTGACACTGTCAAAGGTGCAAGCCCAGCATGTGATGAATGGCACGAACACTTGCAAAGTGAATCATTGATTGCAAAAACGGAGATTTTTTCCTGAAAACGGAGCTTCCCAAAGTCGGTGGCTGGTTTCCCCAAAGTCGGTGACAGATTTCCCCAAAGTCGGTGACAGATTTTCCCAAAGTCGGTGGCGGATTTCCCCGAAGTCGGTGACAGATTTCCTCAAGAGTTGCTACCTAGGTAGGTTCATTCGCTTTACTGTTTCTGTTTCTTGTTTGATTCCTACTAAGTTGCAAGGTCCCAACATTCCTCATGGCTGATGTTAATCTCCATGAAAACGTCAATGAGAGAGGTCTTGCTGATTTGTTTTCGAGCAAGTTTGCAGCCTGCAAAGTGCAGGACACCCCGAGCGCTCCTAGCACTGCTTTCGTCGAAGCAAACAAGAGTATTGTTGAGGAGCTGTAGTGCTGACGAGACTTGGCTTGCTTCCACACCTCGCTCCTGTGTGTATATATATATACTGTATGTATATTCAAGTTAGGCGAACACTTGCAGTCGTTGGTGTATGTACGTACACAGAATTCCACATTGCCTCAACCCGAACTTGCTGCAGTTTGACAAGTGGCAGACTGTCAGCACAATGACTCCTGTTATTCCATTGTGACATTAGAGATGTTAATGTTAAACGATAACCCAAAACCATAGCAGTACCAGGTAGAATTAGGGTCGCATGCAGGAGACGGATGATGCTTATGATGATGATTCTGAGTTTGATAGCGATGATCCTTACGCTTCAGAGGAGGACGTTGTGATAGTCTGTGGTTTCTTGAGGAAGGCAGCATTTTCAGGGCGATTGGATGAACCTCCCTTGTCTCCGCGTGATTCATTGAAGCTATTGAACTGTTGAACAGCCTGGCCTAGCAATCAATTGGTTGCGGAATTGCTGCAGTAATTATGTGGTAAATATGACCGAAGCAGCTGGTAAGAACGACAACAAAGGACGACACCAGCCCCACAAAGAAGTATTACCTTGTTGATTCTTGATGAAATAAACTCGGGCAAGGTCATGATTTTCACACATGCTGCGTGAACTTGTGAAAAAACTTGCATGACACAAGTTCAAATCCTAGCAGCTGGCACTTGGTGGTGCACGGTATGTCCACAGGAACTCGGAATCGATGAGATGGACCGGAAGGTGCGACTCAGACTCAGATGGTGGAAGTCTGCCATACTGACCAGAAGCTGCATGAGCATATGTGGAAGGTCGTGGAGCAAAGGCCATTGCCTACAGTTTCAAGGTGTTTCAAGTAGCATAGCCTGCATGAACTACTTGGAGGCTTCACATGGTTTATCGTAACCAACTTCTCCAGAGGTCAGAGGTCGATGATCAATGTGAACTTCCATGAACTTCCATTTTCCTTCAATGGACAATGACGGACTCTCTTCTGTTCCCTGGCATTTGGTGTTTGTATTTATTACAGCAACCGTAAGATGTAATGTCATTTTGGCACTTTAAGATTTGATACTTACACAAGTTGCACACCAGGGTGATGCTTCGACTCTCACGCGACCGACCCGCCGAAGACTGCCGAGGAATTGTCATTGGGAATTTTCCGTTCTTGTCCACTGAGCTAATCATGCATATAAATGTTGCATAGTATAGAGGGGACGTTCACTTGTTGTATTCGAACACACTCAACATGAAGCCTGTGCCCGGGATTGTACTACTGAAGACTTGGTCACTGCCTGATACTTCCTGTGCAATGCAGATGTATAAAAACTGCCGGTGGCCCCTTTATGATGACCTGCGTGGCTCATCAAACTGGAATTGACGTAGAATTGATGTTCGGCGGGCCCGTGCGCTTCTACGTTCATAACCATTGCCTCAGATAAATCAGATGTTTCTGAAAACAACTGTTTTCGCTCAGCCGACTCCGGTGTTCAAACAAGCGTCTACAGTGTCCAGGATGAAAAGAAGTTTCAAGAAGTTCAATTTGCGATGGACAGAAGATGGCCGCCGAGTCTACTTCGACGAGGAAGGTGAACCAATGTCTCCTTTCAGAGGAGAGGGATGGCAAGGGCGAGCGAGTAGACTTGTTTGAAGAAGCACTGTTGCAAACCGTGTCACGGTGTACTGTACATGTTCTGAATACCTCGATTCAAGAGTTTGGAGAGTGCATTCATCTTGGCATCTGCAAAATAGTTCTTGTCAAAGACAGAACATGAAAAAGGTTTTGATGCTTGGTACGTGTTGACCTCAACACGAAGTACGTGAACCTTCACTTTTACGAAAGCAGTGCTAGTGCCACAGGACTGAGCACTGCTAGTTCTGCCAAAATTGATGGGAGCCCGAAGGTCCCAAAATGCGGGAGATGCATGCTAGTAGATTTTTGCTATTAGTAGCAATGCCCCTGTTACTAGTAGCGATGCCCTTGTTACTACGAGAGAGGAGCTACTACTAGTAATACCATTTGCTACTAGTAGCTTCTTGTTCCTAGTAGCGATGCCCTTGCATTTATTTCATTGCTGTGTGCTGTGGAGTTGATGTTTTGCCTAGTATTGACAAATGGATCTTCAGAGTCAACAAAGTCCTTGTGAATGTGACCTGCGATGTAAAAGGCTGGGGAACATGAACCACTGCATGCTGGTCCGTCCAGAGTTACCGTGCCAGGTCGAGCCGAAAGCACTTCAGGCTGGTTCTACTCGCCCTCCTTGTTTCACGCGAGTGGATGGCTGGTTCTACTACAGATTGACTGTTGCAAGTTGCATGGTGTCACAGCACATGAGTGAAACCGAAAGAGCTTATCCTCCTGCACCCCGCATTAGAACTCATAGATATGTCTGCTTGAGTAGACGCGGGGCATAGATTGAATTCAAAGCGGGCGCTTTGAAGAGCGGCAGTGCACACAACCCATGGGAGTAGGAGATGTTGGAATATTCACTACATGTGAGCACCTATCAAAACCTGTCCTTATGTAGCTTAAAGGAGGCTGGACATCATCTTCGAACATGCTAGTCTTGGTAGTAAGGATAACCTCAAGAACGATCGGGAACAAAAAACAATACCTATTTGTTGAGTTGTTGTTTTTAACTTCATTATTGGTTCTGATTTATCTTGACATTACTATTGCTCGTACCAAAAAAATATTTAGTCTGATATATGCTTTGAGAAAGATATTCCCTTTGCACTCCCTGAGATGTTGCCTTCCTATTTTTGTGGCCTCAAAACGGCAGGGTTTTCGCGGAATGTTCAGCATCGCAAGTCGCAAACGATACCCAGAACGATACCATTCTGATCCATATTTGAGCATTGTGTCGGCCCACAAGGCCAGAGGCCCACATGGGTTCCTGGGGGGTTGTGTAGCAAGGAAAACAGGGCCATATAACGCTTTGCGTCACGTGTAGGACTTTGTCAATCAGTAAAAAGAAGAAGCAGCCACTGTGGGTGCCTGGCTATAGGGCTTCATGTTGGGAGTACTGATTCCCAAAATCAATGCAAGCCTTCAAAAACGATAGGGTCGGGAACAAAAAGCGATGCCCCGCTTTTGATATCCTTTACCACATGTCAGAGGTTTAGATCGCCGCTCATGTCACTACGCTGGATGCAGGTTGAGTTGGCTCCGGATGGCTTGGACCCGGAGCTGCCACGGTTCCGGGAGTTGTTTTATTACAAACTGTTCATCCTAAAAGCGATGGCCTCCAACCTACTAGCAATGGCCTCCAACCTGGGAAGCCTTTCATCCTAGTTCATTCATCATTCTGGAGGAAAACGCCGAGCGTTCCTTTTGCACAGTAGTTTTGACTTTTGACTTTTTTTTGCACGCCCTTACTTAACTAAGTGGGCGCCTACTTGATTAAGTGAGAAGGTAAGCTACTAGGCTTACTGCCTCGGAGAAGTTCGCTCCTAGCTAGGACGTAGGATAGGTCACGCTTCTTCAAGGAAGCTTGACGAAGCACTTGCACTAATGATTTGGTTCCTTGATTCTTCTTGTCTTTACTTTCACTTGGATGTGGTGGAAGCATTCGGGGGTCTGCACTTCTGCTCTCGCAATTCTCTCAGCTACAATTCCAGGAGAACACAATCTTCGGAGAAACGAAGCAAGATTTTGGCAACTTGGGTATCACCCAAGATGCTCTTCGAGATGTCAGAAGCCTAGATTCCACGAGCCATGTTTGGGCAGGAAGGTAGGTCAGGTATGATAGCTATAATTGGATATAATTGGCTGCATCCATATATAGTTATACAGTAGAGCAAGTAATAAGATGTAAGATTTGCCAGTGGCGTAGCATCCGGACGTAGATCGAGGGTTTCGTCGGAAGCTCTGGGAGAACTCCCCTGAAGAAGCCTCAACGTATGAAATGGTCCAAATAGGAAGCAAATCTTGAATTTAGGGAAAAATACATTGTTTTTTGGAAACTAACCTTGTACTCACTTTGTTTTTTTGCCTTGCATCCAATACTGAGTCTCAGCATCGAGAAGGATGCTTGGGCGCTTGTACTCACTGCAAATTTAAATTTAGGAGTCTAATTGGAAGAGTTCCAATGTACGTTGCGGCCAGATTTCATGTTCAGATACAGTGCTTCTGCGCAGTTCATTCTGATGTTAGATGTTTTTCTTTTTTTCTGTACTGCGTCTTGTTACATCTCGTTTTGTAAAGGGCTGAAAGTCTGATTTTGTGCCCTTTGTTGGGAGTCCTTTGCAGTCTTGATGTACACCGTCACATACAGCACGGTGCAGGCTGATGGCAGAATTAATATAGACTGGCCTTGGCATTGTCCTTGTACAATGCCGTAGGTCCAATTCACTTCATAGCGTTCCATTCTAATTATATACTCCCACTTGAAGCGGGAATCATACGACGTGTGGTAGTACTGCTTGTTGCTTTCACCTTCTGATAGTTGTACCCTGCCCAGTGGCTACTGAGTTGCATGATGCCTGCTCGTTGGCTGTTGAGCATGTTTTTCCCATTCCCATGACCGGACTTAAACGCTGCCAAACACAGCAACACCAAATTGCCATCAAAACCAGTCACGTCGGAATTATGATTGATGTTAAGCTATTTGGCTGGTGGTATTCATCAACCCACAAGATCCCACAAGTACCTTTCAGAGAAAGACACACAGGTCGCACGATTGAACATTGACATAGACGTTGGAAGTACCTTTCAGTGGAGCTCCAGACGTCGGCTGGTGGTCCTTGTGAAACAGGCGACGTCGCGTCGGTCGCCACGAGTCTGGAGGTCCTCGGATTCATCGCTTTCGGATTCCAAGTCGGTCGCGTGCCGGTCTGAGGCCTTGGATTCATTGGGGTTTCGGCACGCCACACGAATCCAGGCCGGAACATCCATAACATCCATATGCCATGGAGCAACAGAGTCAGTTGCTTCTTCTTCTTGAGAAAGCGGAAGGAAGATGGCGCAAGATGGCTTAGGTTCAAGTTGACTGACATGGCATGGCTTTCAGTTCTCACTTGTTGAGCGGACTGGTTGAGCCTCATGTTCGCTGTTTGGTGAAGCAATTGTCCAAAATACTTGAGCGTATGTAACATACATATTTTAATGGTCACCAAGCAGCCCTGCTGCCAGAGCATGTTCCTACAAGCAGAGGAAACAGATGAACAGTTCTTAAGAATTGAATAATATTCTTGAGATTGAATCCATTGAAGCATCTTGACAAATCTTTTGACAAGAACAGTGTGGTTCGGCAAGGCAGCAAGTATTCCTTCAGTGCTCTCGGAAGATCGACGTGCAGTCATCATGAGTTCAGAGACTGGTTCAGGAGACCGCGGTATTGTCACACAAAGGGGAGTGAGAAACTGTGTGTGTGCTGTTAAGATTTGTTAAGCCTCAGTGCAGCAGATGGTTTGGGCACGCTGTTACATTGTCACTTCAATTCCATGTTGCCATGGTTGTCATTGATGTCAAGAGGCTAAATGAATTCTTAAGTTGATGAGAATTTGTGACTTTCTTATTTATGCCCGGACAGTTTACACAACATAGTGGCAGTTTGTTGCAGTGTTATGTGGCAAAACACAGCAGCCATACCTGTTGGATGTTTGTTCACTGCGAATGGCTATCATGCTGGCACGATCCTCCCTTGAAGAGTGAGAAGAGTGAAATGCAGCCAATCGCAGCCGCAGGCAAAACATTGGCCTATTTAGTGCCTGCATTCGAACTCATCCTGCGAATGCCGCCACGTTCAGGAGGTGGGGCACTGTAAAGAGCCAAAACAACGAACGGATTGAATGCTCGAATATATTTAATTTAGCGGATAGAATGTTTCTATCTAGAGTCCTGATTCTCCTTTGCAACAAAGAAACGCTAAGTGCAAGAACCATGGATGGGTCACTGCTATTGTTCAGCCGGATGGCTGCTCGAGTACGTGCACTGCTTCGTGTCAGCCAAGCAGAGCAGAACTTCATTGAGCGATTTCCGAAACCACGGCAAGCGTTTGTTGGTGGCGCACGAGCAGTTGATTCTTGACAATCCAACTTGGTTCTGTGAAGTTTGATAGCCTATCTCAAGGACAGTTCGAGCCAATTACGTTTTTCAGCACAGTACGTCCTGGGCAAGCAGTTTCAGCTGCCTCAGCCGCTACAGAGTGATTGAAAGGTAACAAAAAACTGCGTGCTGGACCCAAACTGTACACGCTGAGGTGAGCGCCATCCAAATGTGTTGATCCTTGTGCCAAGCATGGAGCTGGGAGTTCAAGTCACCCTGGTCGCGCAGCAAATCGCAAAGGCACCATTATTATTTTTCACACTGAGTCCCTGATGGACGTTCTTGATCTGCTTACAAAGCCAGACATGTTGACTGTTGCTTTGCCCAAAGTTGCATGAGGTCAGAATGGATTAAGGAGATCCTGGTTCAACCCCATTGCCAATCACGTGTTTGGAACGTCCGATCCGCAGTGTCCAGGCAATTCACACCATTGAGCGCAAGGAGATCCGCGTCAGCAATGCCCGCCGCAACTGGCCCAATGAGGTGGGAGACCATTGTGAATTCTGATGCTTTCCTGTATGTAGAGTCTATAGATGTCTATAGTCTATATATAATATACAATAATACACCATACATAATATATATATACTGTAATATTTGTATACATTTACATATAATATATACATATATATATATATATTATAGTCTGTGATATGGACAGAGTATATTTACCCAGCCACTTGTCGAGAAGCTCAAAGTGCCCACACAAGAGATGCGCAGACTCGTTCAAATTGAGCACTGTGGAAGAGACATAGCTAATTGACTCTTTCATAATGTTGCATACATTTGTGTGGATCAATCCATGTGCGTCAATCCATGTCCATGAAGTAAGTTCAGCAAGTTGCCTACCTGAAACTGGTTCTTTACCGTACTGAAAAAGAATTATACAACCGTTGGCTGTGAGGCCACCAGTATCATGTAGGTTTCGGAGGAACCCTGTACACCCCGCCCGTCATCGTCTCAGGTACCCGACATTTTAGTTTGCACTCCTCGAGCAGCAGCACAGGAGCGCAGTCTCCAGTAGCTCAGCAGGGTTTGCTCATCACAGAGTGGCCCAAGTGGTTAAGTTATATATATATATAGTTTATTTATATGTTTCAAACCTCCAATGCTGTCCTTCTCATTGTTTACAAGTTCGGCTAATTCCACCTTCCACAGTGTACCCAGTGTGGAACCGTGAGCTGCGCTGCGCTTGTTCGTTCTTAGACCATTAGACCACCGTTCGTGCAGAAAACATCAGAAAACCTAGTGGCCCAATGGATTCGGAGCTGTGTTGCCACTGTATGATCTTCAGATGTCGACAAGTATCTCGCCAGGGCTTGGCTCCCTGCCAGAGCCAAGATGAAATGGCTCGCAAACAAGCCTTGAAGCGAATCAAAGATGTGGAGGTGCCTTCACCTTCGTTTGCAATCGTTGTGGCAAAGTCCGAGATCTATATAGTTAATAATTCAGCGCTTTTGAGGTGTTCCATGCTGTTTGGCAACGGGGTTGGTCGTTGCAGTTTGCAATCAAAAGGAAGCTTAAGGGTCCAACTCGTCAACTCATCAGGAAAAGACTCAGATACTTTGAGTTCATTTGCGAGCACTCCCGACCGCAGTTGGTGGTCTTTGATGAAGCAGACCTCTTGATGGACTTCGGAAGTCAGTCAGACGACGTGCAGGCACAAAGGGAAACTGACTCCAGAAAATCTAAAAATATATCTATCTATCTATTTATCTATTTATCTACCTACCTACCTAGCTAGCTATCTATCTATCTGTCTATCTGCCTATCTGTCTATATCTGTCTATCTATCTAGCTAGTCTATCTAGTCTATCTGATACTATCTAGCTAGTTTATGGAAAGTGCATGTTTGATTCAATCCAATTTCCTTCCTCATGCATTCTTGCTTAAAATCACAACATTGGTGTGCTCAAACAATTTGACAACCCTTGTAGCAAGCTGCGGATGCCATTCAGCGGAAAATAGTGTCGCACGTTTAGGATGGGCCAATGAAGCCAGACAACGTAAATTGTAGGCTGTGAATCTCAGGAGCTTGCGTTTGAATGGAGAAGCTGCGCCCAAAATAGCTGATGCAAGCCAAATTTCAAACTATTCGATAGGTTGGCCGGTTGGCATAGATGGCATCGTCAACGAAGGGAGATACGGGGTTCCTTTGCCGAAACCAACTCATGTGTGTTTTCCTCTCCAGTGCACTTGTGTTCGATGCTTCGTTTAAATGGTTACTGCTTATATTCCCTTATGAAATCGATTCTTAAAAGATAAATGCAACTATTCCATGTTTCTTCTTTGTTTTGTCCGTGCTGAATCATACTGGACTTGATGGATGCAAGACATGATTTGCATGTTCGCTGTTTCGTGGCGCCAGACAGTGCTCACAGCGATCGCTGCGTTCGGACCTTGGACGGTTCCGCTTAAGAGCAAGGTCAACCAGGTCAACCACGTTCCAAAGCTTGCCTGAATGATCTGAAAAAAGAGTGAAGATGTTGTCACGGTCAGGCGCACAGCCGAATCCCAAGTGTTGAATGACCTAGGTCATTCCCGGATCAGCCAAGACTTGTGCAGCCGAAAGCGCAGGCACGTTTGTAGCATGATTCGCTCTCGGAGCAAATTGGCTTGGCTAGAAGAGCAATTCCTGAAAATTGCAGACTCTAGATGTTTGCTGCTGTTTGCTTTTGTTGGGATGGCACAGAAGTATACCATACCATACCATATGCCGTTAGTATCATTAGGATCATCAGGTATCATGGTATATATATATATTAAATACACAGTGCGAACGACTCCTCGTCATAGTAGCCTTGAAAGATACATGCCAGTATCACTCCATATTCTATGCATATCAGATATCAGTAACATCGTAGGCTTGGAGATGAAAGAATTGAGAGGAGAACCCGATACCGCAGTGGCTGCAAACTTGCAGGTCTATAGACCTGATGGTATTCCAGTCGAGGTTTTGAACCGGAGCAGGGGGACTCAGGTACCATTGACCCCAGGACTGACCGAAAGGCATCTTACCTTTTGATTACCACTCTAATATTATGAAACTCCTATGAAGTATACCTGCGTTTAGTGGCAAAGCCAGCAGCGATCTGAGATGAGAAGAGGGACCCATATAGAACCTGATGGAGAGCTGACCGGTACTGCCTCGTGCTGCTGAAGCTTTTAGCCGCGGATAAGAAGCAAAGGATGGAAGCGAAGGATGTGACGGTTTGTGAACTCAATGTGTACCTCATCTCGGACAGTGACTTGAACATTTAGGACGCATCAAAACGGAGCCATGCAAAACCAAGCACAGCCCCAATACTGGAAGGCATGACAAGAGCAATACATTCCACCGACCCCTTTGGTCAGCCGGTCAGCCCTCCTCAGCCAACGAGCGACAGCAAGTTCTCAGCCTGAGCAAGTCACTGCCAGACTGAACTACGGTTACACCGTAAGCCTAACTAAGCAGTCAACAGCACGGCCAGACTGAACTTGGCGGCCCTTTAGTTTGCCATGGATGACGACACACCAGGGTCACAAGAGGCAGGGATTGGATTGAAGATGTGGAACAGCTCATCCAATTTGTGCCAGTTCTGACATCATCCATGCTGCTACAGATGCAGTTTGTTTGCTTCTTGCTTGGCAGGCATTTTGTGATGAAGGCTCGTCCTGCCGGCATCTCCAACATTCCAAGAATTCGACCAGCTGATCCTGTGTTTCTACAAACACGGGAGTCCTCAGTAAGACTAGCTTGAAACTTCTGCAAGACAGTTGGCTTGTCAGATTGGCTTGTGCCCTGCATGTTTTGCAGGGATCGAAGCAAGCCAAAGCTCAGGAGACCAGGGTTGCAATATTGTAACTCAATTTTTTGACATCATGTCACCTCAGCAGGGTAAAAGGAAAGGATATACATATACATACATTAGAGTCTGGGTGGGCCTCTTTATTTAATGATTTCCAAATCCATACTTCCAGGCTTCAAAACTATTTATGAAATAGTTAAAACTATTTATAGAATGATTGAAACTAATTGAAACTATTTATAGAATGATTGAAACTATTTATGAATGCTTAGAAACTACTTTGATCTATGAAAAACTCTATATTCCTATGTAAGAGGCACCACCCATCCTAGCATTCAAAAGAAAACAAGTAATCTCATCTTATGTGACGAAGTAAAACAGCAAAACACTCGTATTATTTGCAGTTGCTGTCACATTGAAGGAGTGATTGCCACGTGTTAGGCTTGTCATGTTTGGTCCGCAGTCCCTTTTCAAGACAAGAGTTCACAATGTCTCGTGCAGTGTTTGGGGCAGATTTTCAGTACTAAACTAAACAGGACATGTAGTGTGTGATTTCCTGCCACCTTAAGCCCTCAAGCACCATTTCGTATTTAGCCTTTCCATTGATTCGATGCAATGCGGATACGTGTGAAGAAGACTGTGCGGAAGCGTGTGAAACGCAAAACACACAAAAGCACAGCCAGTGCCAGCCGATCACCAACACCCACAACCAAGCATGCCAAAACCAACATACACAGGCTTCCACCTCCACCACCACCACCTCCTCCAAAGCGAACAGCCGTTCTGACACCACCCCCACCACCACCACCACCACCTCCACCTCCAAAGCCTCCAAGACGCCGTAGCAGATCATCAAGGCTGTTGCCACCTCCCCCCCCACCTCCTCCAAAGCCTATTTCAAGAGGAAGATTCATTGACTCTTGACAGCATCCATGGACCTTGACCGTAGTTGGCTTTGCAGGGTTTCTTCATGGGCATGGCAAACAGCAGTACCAGACCAAGTAGGGGCAGAAGAGGAAGACATGTGGCAAATGAGGATCACATGATCATACACACACATGACACACATGAATATGTCCATGTCACATGTCCATGTTGATTTCACTACTCTAGTGACTCTAGTGTCACTGTGTCACAGTCATGGTGACTGTGGTTGATGCTGTCTCTCCTGCTGAGCTACAATCTGAGTCTGAGAAGACACATGGCAACAAATAACAGGGAATCGGAATCGGGAATCATTCTTGATTTTTCTTTCAGCCACTCCTGCATAGTCAGTCATCAATATTTTGGAAAATACAGTTCTGCCAGGGTTCAATCAGGCACTTTACAGAAGTATCAGGTTGGACACCATCAGGACCATCATCACTATTAGGTTGGAGGCCACCACTAGTCACCAATACATTGGAGGCCATCACTAGAAGGTTCGAGCCCATCCCTATTCCATTGGAGGCCCTCACTATTAGGTTGGAGGCCATCACTAGTCACCAATACGTTGGAGGCCATCACTAGTAGGTTGGAGCCCATCCCTACAAAGCAGCCAAGGACCGGTCCAGCATTCCTCGACTGGGCACACACCTTCTGCAAAGCATTGAGGTTGTTTCAGAAGAAAGCACTACTTCCCGCAAAGTTGCTTGGCAAAGTGTGGCAAAGTATTGAACCTGGTGACAACTCTCACTGTCACAGATACGATATGATTCAATATGATGTGAGAATTTGCTGTGCCAATTGTGTTTATTTTCATCAACTTCTTGAGGCTCCAAATCATTGAGGGCTGTGCCGGTGCAGCAAGCGGCACATATTGTATGTGTCTTTGTTTGCACTATGACTCAGACTGGTTTTGCAATTTTACAGGTCGGTCAGTCAGTCATCACGAAGTCAGTACCATACCATACAGTACAATCTTGAACATATCATTATCCCACATCCACCTTGGCTTCAAGGCGAGACCTCTCCGGACTACTGGGCTTTCAGAGCACAAGTGTTGCTTTTGAGCTTGCAGAGTTCAAGCGAAGCTTCATCAAGAGAAACTATGGCCCTCAAGGCAACTCAGCAGAAGAAAGTTTAGGTCAGGGATCAGTGAGGATCTAAATTTTGCACTGCAGAGTGTACTAACTGTATTTGTATGAGAAAAGGTCAGGAGACAAATGGATTTTCCTTTTCCAAGTTTTGCCACAGAGATGGAGGTCGTGAGTTGGGGAGACAAACAACAATGACTCATGACTTGACTATGATTCATGAGCATCAGCATGAGCATGACTCACCCCTGACAACCTCACAACTCGACAGACCTCAACAGCTAAGTCAAGCACCTCTACAGCGACATCTCTTGTGCAGCTGCCGGATCTGGGGAGTGTCACATGCATCTCCAGACTTGCCAGTGGAACCAGGACTAGGCTTTTGTGGGGAGGCCACCTGTACACAGCTGAGCTCATGAGAGTATGATTGACAGACCATATTCTGACAGTGTCTCACAACATGGCAAGTGGAGTGAGTACTCGTGCTGTTAAGTTTTTAGCAAGACAATGGACATCCAGAGAATGCACTTGACTTGTCCTGTCAAATGTGCTTGCATCTGGGTTGCGATGGCCACTGGCCACCAATTGTGGCAGGAGCTTGGGGATGGCAGCATTCGGTTGTTCCTGGCAGGCCCACCTTGCCCGCCATACAGCGTGTTGAACAACAAGAAGCGGAAAGTTCCTGGGTACCAGCCATTCCTGACACCTGAGGGTCAGGTTTTTGAAAGCTTGGCACGATGCATTCGCAACTGGCCTTATTTTGAGGAAGTAAGGGAAGACACAAACTGTGACTGACTGAAGTAAGTGGACGACTAGACTGCAAACAATCCTGAATCCTGAGATTGATTTAGACTTGGACTGACTCAGGCCTTGAAGGAACGGGAACGGTAAGGACCAGGTAAACTAGTATTTTATTTTTTTATAATATAAATATATAATATATATATATGATGTATTGAAAGCCACTGACAGTGGCAAATTAGCGATGCATACATACCATACCAGAACATAACATACCCACAATTAGTAGAGGATGAATATGAATGAATATGAATATTGGCAGAATCAGAATGATATTCTATCAATTGTTGAATCCCACTGGCCACTGCCAAGGCCAGGAGCGGCCAGAAATTGTCCTGCTTGAAGAGGCGCGCCTTTCAGTGTTTCCTGACTCCCCATCTCATGTAAACCCAAATTCCAGGACCCAGGATTCAAAAATAATCACTGTCTTAAGCCTAAGCACCAACTGTGCCAATACTCAACTTCACTTCAACTGAAAGTCTGGAGATTTGAGATTTGGGTTGAGGGTTGACAACAAACAAATTCCAGATTGTGAAAAGGATACAGGATACCGTCAAGGATCTCAGACATTTTTCGCACAGGTTCTGGGAGTGAAGCACAACTTCATCATTCCTGCCGGCAACCGGGACCCATTCTTTGAGACCTACAAGGTGGGGATTGTGGGGGTGGAGGTGGGGGGGCACACAATGTCTTTGTTGCGCAGCTTGTTGTCTTTAGGTTTTGGTGGTTCACCTAGCCACACATGCACTGCAGCAGTGGTGGTGTCACTGTTTTCTGAACAGATTTTCAGCCATCCTGCATGCCTGTCCTGCCTGCTCACAACAAAGAACAAATCAAAACACAGAACATAACATAACTCAAACAACATTAGTCCTGACTCAACTCAACTTTTGGAATTGGGCTGTGAACACAGAGTCTAGAAAAATAGAGCGAGTGAATAGAATAGAATTGAATCATAGAGTCTGGAGTCTAGAGTGATGTCTTGTCATTTGTCCCCAGAAAGTATGTTACCTACAAATGGATGCATAGATTAGATTTTGGACACTGTGTCGAGCCATGCCTTTGTCCGACCTTTGGTCTGAGATTTCATCAGACGAAGAGAAGGACCCACCTAGCCATCCACGATTTCGTGCGTGTGTGGCTGCAGCAGTTGCAAGGCAACGACAACGAGAGAGAAAAGAATCAGAGACACCAAAAACGTGGGCATCATTGCTACAAGAGGGTTTTTTCACACACAAGTTGTTCTATCTGCCAGGCTATTCGAAACAGCAGGATTACCAAAAGGCATCTTCAGAAAGAGCGCGATGCTGCTTTAGTTTGATCAAGTACATGATCAATTCTATCCAAAGGCTGTTCCAAGATAGTTCTGGCAGATGCAAGACTGTGCATCATGTCGTCAACAGCGTGATTGCAGACGATACCGACACAAGAATTCGTGATTCGTTGCAAAAGTCTGCAGTCCAAACTGTTTGCAACACAGTCCAGAGTCTCCATGTTAGGTACAGCCAGCCGGGTGCCAAAGAATGCTGGGAGTCACTCAACATCCCAACTCCTATGGTTGTCCTAGCTGCTACAAAAACTGGGCACATCCATTCAGCAATGACAGCATTTTCTGTTGTCTGCGCAAACAAGGTTGGGCAGTTGATGCAGAACTGTGGGCTTTCACCAGCTGCAGCTGGGACTGACAGCACACCTTTCCGCACAGAAATTCTAACAGGAGACGCATTGAAGGCAAATGCAGCTGCTTGGAGAATTGAGGTTAAGCAGTTGGCAGAGCACAATTCTCAATGCAGCCAGTGCACGATGGGAGTGTATTGCAAGTGCCAGGTGCACCAGCTCAACTTGATTCGCAAACCGATGGTTTTGTCAATTTCCAACTTCTGGACGTCAATAATTAGGCTCGCTCATCTTTTTGAGCAAAGCAGTTTTCGCCATCAGTTTGCCACAGCATTGGTGCAGTTCTTGCAAAGCCCCAACACCTTCCAAAGTAACCAGGATGGACTTTGTTGTATTTGTTGTTTTCATTATCATTCAATACTTTATTGTCATCATCTATCAGTTGTCGTCTAGCATGTCAATCCTATTTCTTCAAAGTGAGAGATGTGCTTTGCTCAGAAGTAGCTCAAATCAATTACACAGCTAAGGAATGCCAGTGCATGGGCTTCCGGCAGAACACACTGCTTGGAAGAGACGCGCTGAATGGATAGGTCGCAACTTCCAGTCAACATCAAAGGGTGCCAAGTCAGCACTAGACGAGATCCTCACCTTCATCAACGGTGACACATCCCAGGACATCCTGTGTCACTGGTGCTTGGTTGAGTCAGGGTGCTGTAAGGATCAAGAAGAAAGCCTGAACCGCCTCATTCGATTGTTGGTGCCTTTTTTTACAAGGGGCTTCCCAGTGCCTTTGCTGAGTCGCTTCAAACACTATGGATTGGCCAGCAGCTATGTAAAAGTCGGCACTACACTGTGCAAGATTCTCCCACAAACTTTGCAGCGAATGAAAGGCAGTGGAGCTTCTATCAGTGCAGAGCTGAGCAGTATGATCGATACACTTTTGGCTGACACTGGCATGTCATCATCTGGTGGCAGTCTGAATGAGGAAGATTTTCAAGTCTTGTTGGGGGGCTTGATGGAGGCGGATATGCAATACAGCCTTCAAAACTCAGTCAGAAAAAACATGATGATCAAAGCTTTTGGCCAGGAAGACTTTCCCACGCACACTGTCATCATGGACTGTTTGCTTCAACCAATCGAGACGGGAATCAACACCCTTTTTTCCAGGACAAAGATTTTACACCAATTGTCAAACTTGGGAACAGCGCACCCATCATTTGCTGATCTTTGCCAAAAAAGCCGCAGCAAATTCCTCAGAATCGTGGATGGTTCGCTTGGTCAAGAACTCATGGTTGGCTACCTGAGCATTTTGGAGAAAGGTTTGGCAGAAAGTATTGAGTTTGGCCTGGATATCAAGGATTCTCCCAAGCTGCTGAAGTTGGCATATGATCTAGTCATTGTGGGTGTGACGGACACGTGGCGAAGACTGGTGCTAGACTTTAAGTCTGCTCCATTTTCGTTGTTTGGCTTGGTTGGGCTGACACCTCAGCAGTTTCTTCTACAGTGGGAAGCTCTTCACAAAAAGTTTGCATCCTGCAACGCATGTGTTGACAATGCCTTCACTGGACTGCTGCTTTCACAGTTTCCCATGTCCAAGTTTGACGGGCCTGCAGCTGCAGCAGATTCTTTTTGCCAGGAGGTCCAGCAGTTGTTGTTGGATGTTGCCACGTTTGCACCATTATCCAGTGATTTGGTTGAGATAAAGCATGGTGGTGTGCAGTGGGCAGTCTCTCGCAGGGGAAGGCAACAGGTTCGTGCTCCAAAAGCAGCAAGAGAGATAACTCTTCTCCAGGCATGTTTGAAACAGTTTCTTTGGGCACAGTCACATGTTGCTGACGAGACAATGCCATCCAAAGCGACAGCATCAGGCATCCTGAAAATGAGTGGAGTCCGCAGCTCAAACCAGTACTCTGTCCTTTGGCTCTTTTTCAACATTTTTGGAGGCAGAAACCAGTTTACTTTGGGGTATCCAGGTATGCAGTACTCACTTCCTGATGTTGTTTGTTCTGTGTTCTGGTGATTTTGCTTTGTACATCAGTCTACTTAGTCCGGTGTTAGCTTCAGCCAAAAGATGAAGCTTGAAAGACTTTCCAAGTGCATCATGTAAGGATCCACAAAAGAAACGGCAGCGTACATCTCAAGAAACCCCGGCAGAGAAGCAGGCTCGGACTAGTTTGGCAACCAAGAGGAAAGTCAGGGCTCTTTCCGCCTGGAATGTTTTCCAGCAAGAGCAAATGCAGCAAAGCAGCCAGAGTCTTACGCCAGATGAATATAGGGTCTTTGTGAAGGAGGTGAGTCAAAAGTGGAGGCAATTGTCTGCTGAAGAGAGGCAGCCGTACCAGATTGAGGCAGAGCATCAGCAGCAGCTGAGAAACAAGCTTGCAGAGACACCATTGGCACCGAAGGCAGACTCAGCCAGTGTTGGCAACAGTGACATCAACCAATCACAGAAGGACCGACAAGACCTTGAAGACAAAGTTGGTCAGCGCGCTTGCAAAAAGCTGTCAGCCCGCAGGCTTATGCTCAACAAGCAAGCTGAACAAGATCATTCTTTGTGGACATCTTCCACACAATACGGAGACAGCTACTCAACCAATTTATTGGCAACATCTTTCAGTACGGCCATATACCAGTTGTGTGCTATTCTCATCCATGTAATTCCATGTGCCTGGTTTGATTTGGTACTGGTAGGTTGTATTAGTTAGCCTACAGCCAACAGTCCTGATAGCCAGGGTCCTGGGTACGGTGGGTTCAAACTTTTTTGCAGGTACAGGGGCTTTGCGACTATCTGCCATTGACATCACCACCAGCGATGAGACCATTCAGCAGTTCTTGGACCAAGCAATGCACACAACTCCTGGGAGTACTGAATTGCGGTCAGACTGTCTTTTGGACCAGTGCTCACCAGATCACTGTGAAAAGAAAGCTGGTTTAGAGTCCAAAATGGCATGGGCACTCTACTATCAGCTTGCTGAGTTGAAGGTGAAGCCAGGGACGTTGCTTTCACTTCACAGCTCATCAACAAGTGAATCATATGCCTACATCCTGGGAGTCACCCAAAAGAAGCCACTTCTGCAAATTTTGGTTGAAGTGACCTTTGAAGGAAATGGTGATATCATGTTGAAATGCGTCGACAGCGTGCCACAAGTGGCAACATCGCATCAAATTTTTGCATCACTGGTCAAATCCTGTGATCAACGCGTTGACGTCCAGGTGTGGAGATGTACAATGAAGTGGATTGACAATCACTTGCTGGTTGCCTGTGCAGAAGAGATCCTTGAAGAGTTTGTGCTTGATTCAAGCAGTTTGAAGAGAAAGCAGGCAAAACCAGTCCAGTTCCCATTTGGCTTGAAAACATCAAAGCCACGGCAGCCACGCAGAAAAAGCAATGCGCCAAAGACAATGACTCGGACCAGAAAAACACACCTGAAGCAGAAGCAACAGCAAAGTCAGCCTACAGTTGACAATGACCAGGGCCTGGACCATGAGTCAGACCAGCCAACTGAGTCTGAGTCTCAATGTGATTCAGATTCAGAACCTGACAGTGAATGTGATCTTGATCTCACTGCAGAGAGCAATCCTGTCGAGCCAATTTCCGAAATGCAGGCTGGGGAGGAAGCATCAGCCAAGCAGCTTGAGCAGGACATCAAAAAGTATGACCAGGCAAAGGCTGATCTTGCTGACCAGTACAAAGGCGGTCCACCTTCATCAACAACTTTTTTCAGTCAAGCACTGGGACTTGATGAGGGTGCACTTGCCAAATCAGGCCGCTCAATATGTCTCCACTGCAAACGTGCGATAGCTAAGGGAGAAGTTCGTTTTTCTTGGTTATGACGTGACTTCAGATATTCCACAACTACCATATGATGTGTTGCATACTGCGTGATGTGATAAAACAATACTTCACTGCTGAACCAAGTGACAAACAGGCAGTGCTTCAAACAAGAGCCCAGGTCAGAGTGAGAGTCAAAGTCCTTAATATTTGGCAGGGACAGCAGTCAGCAATACTGAATACATACGTGTCACGTACAGCGTGCAACAACTCAGGAACAAGGCCTTGACCCAGAAGGAGCAGGGTGTATCTCTGATTTGGCACGTGGAGGGCTTGGTATATCCTTCCTCAGTCTTAGTGTGGTTTTAATGTGTTTTACACTGGTTTACTATCTTGCTTTAATCATGAAGTTTTTCCATGAGCAAATGATTGTGATTTACAGCGATGCAGCGATGCAAATGCAGTTTTGTATTTTTCCGTTTCATTTGTATGTGGCCAAGGCTCTCTTGGCCGGTTCCATTACCATCTTGGATCCAAAACATCAGCGATTACAACTCACAGCAAGCTTTGGAATTGGAGCAATGCACAATTCCTGACGGGGGAGGACAAAGACCTAGCCACCAAACAGACCAGACCAGACCAACATACAATAGCATTGGCGTCGGTGTAATCTTTTTGCTGCAACATTGCACATGTCATGTCACATCACATTCCCACATTACAATATGCCCATAGCATACCACCGTGCCGTACGATACCGGTGACTACTACGATGCAGGACCTTATCACACTGCAAGGCTTCGATGTCTACAAGCTGGACCTTGACAACATGGTGTACAAGCAAATGAACACACTTGCAGGTACAAATAGAGGGGGTGGGCGGAGGTGGGCTGTTAATATTTGGATCTTCTTAGGGCCGAGTCAAGTGATGAGGTTAGGCTGTCCTCAAGAAAAATGCAAGACACCCTCAGATCTCTTTGTTAGCCAAGATTTGTGGACGAAAACCCTCCAGATTCCGAGTACAGCAAAGATTGGGGTTTCAGTCTCACTGTTTCACTGTTTTTGATAGTTCTTTGAAGAGTTTTTTCTCCAATGACCTTTAGGTTTTTAGGCCCAGCTGAGGTTTTTAGCTTTGGATGCTTTTGTTAGTCACCTTAGGTCCCAGTTCACATTAGGGTCCACTTCAGTGTCTGAACAGGGCAGTGTCCAGCCCAGTTTATGGCTCCAGGAGATTCCTGGTCTATTCCTGTGGCCGGCTCGATCTTGACTGCTGTGCTGGCGGGAGCTTTGCCTGGGCCCAACAACAAGCCAGCGCTTTGTTTGGTGCCAAGCCCATCTACCTTGGAGCCTCAACCAGGACCAGCATGGCCCTGGTTGGAAGAGGAGGTGTCTGAAAGTCAGGAAGGGTCAGAAAGTGAGTCTAACCAGACTTGGGAACTGTGGGACTCAGAACTGTCTGACGTTGAGAATGAGAGTTGTGCACCAGACCCACGGCCCACTGTGAAACAGTTTGACTGCTACATTGTTCGGGACACTGGAACATTCTGCAGGCAGTGTCACAGGGAGTTCCAACTTCGCTCATGCAACTTTTTGTGGTTCAATGAGTTTTATCATCAGGACTGCTTCATGACCAGGGTTACCCAAGAAGGCATGGAAAATGAGGCTTTGATGGAGCTGAGCGACTTTCAAGCTGGTGCATTGCCAGAACTTCAGCCACCGATCAACTCAGTCATTCACCTTCTGATTGAGATGACTGAGCCTACCCAGGAATTGCCTGGTCTTGATGGTATCAATGCTCTGGGGGCCCCAACTGCCAATGCCAACAGCGATGCCAACACCCTTGCAGACACACAAGTTGCACCGTAACCTTGAATGATTTCGAGTTGCTTTCGATTGGTAGTAGTGCATTAGAGTAAGCAGTACCCAGCAGCAAGCATGCTTTTGCCACAGATAAAGGCCGCAGTGCTTGCTCAAAGTTTTGATCCCCCTTGCCGTGCTCGTGGACAAAAGGAGACTATAGTCAGTGAGCAAACTGGGCTTGGTTGGTGAAACATAGAAGGTTGATGTTGATGCAAGCATGTCCGTTGTGTATGCGTGTACTGTGCCTGGTCAGTTGTTGCCTGAAGTTGGACTTGAACTTTTGAGCTGAAACTTACTGCCTTTCTCACTGTGATCATTCACTTTTAGGGAAGGGTGTGACAGTGCATTGGAGGGATTTCATTCTCAACCTCAGCTTCGCCTCGACACATTGCCTTTTCATGATCATCAAGGAATCTTGATACTTGACCTGGTTTGCCATCGTTTTGCCATTGGCAGAGTCGTGCAGTCACCAGTACAAGAGTGACAGCAGGTTCTGAACCTGCTGATGCCCCGGAGCAATCTGGTCAGGATTCTGACTCAGATGTACCAGACGGAGAGTGTGGGTCTTGCCAGCAGAAGTTCAATGCCCAAGACGAGGATTCCGGGTTGTGGAACAACACTACTGTTTTTGTGCAGGGACAGAATGTTATAAAACTGTTGTTGTAATTTGTTGTTGTAATTTCAACAACATGACATGACACAGCACATACCATTTCCCGTGCAGGACAGTGTACCTGGGTATCCTCCTGTTATGGTGGTTGCAACAAAGGGCACTGACAAGGGGGAATGCATGCGATGCTTCTATTGTCGCAGAGGTTCTTTCAAGGGCATGACGGCCAGGATGTTCCGGAAGCTTCTCAGGAAGCACCCAGCACTGCGTGACAAGTTTCTTGCAACATTTATATAAGGAAAAACATTTTACTTTGTTTGGGAGGTCACAGCATTGGCATTGGCACCACATTATTGAACTCTGGCCTTTTGAAGCATCGCCAGGTTCCGGGCTCTGAGAAAAAAACACATCAAGAACATGGTGAAGAATCCCAATGGGAGGCCAAGACATGAAGTCATCGAAGTCCGCAATTTCACAGAGTCCAGGGATGAGAGCTTCTGTGACATCTACCAGGACTTCAGAGTACTTAGTACTGACAGCTGACTCCATGACTTGACTCCACTCCATGCTTCATTTTCACACTAAGTTTTTTTGAGGAGTTGCGAGTTCCAAGCACCATTTTCAAGTACAGTCCTACAGTACTTTGCAGTACCATACACCAAATCTCTGTCCTGTAGGAGGGGCAGTGGATGTCGGTCACTGACTATGTGAATGACAAGGTGACGGATGTCAACGCAAAAAAGAAACTGCGAACAGCCGCCCAAAAGAAGAACTACTGCGAGAAAGCCACCCGGCTTTGGTTTGAGTGGCAATTCTTTGGTGGAGATCTTGTCAGTGCAAAACCTGACCTGACCTGATCTTTTTAAGCCCAGTTCAGTTCAGTTTGCTACTTCACTGTTTGTACCAGACTGTAACTGTAAGCATCCTTGTTTTTGAATTATGGGGTCTGGAGATTCTACAACCCCAACTTGGCAATCGGAATGACTACTGATACTGCAGATCAGATACCACACCAATACCAAGAGTCAATGCCCCCACCCAAAATCAGTTTCAAGCATTGGGTAGTAGCTCAGGTTCTGGGGCTTCGGATTCAGCAGGACAAGGGGCAGCAAAATCGGCATGCCTGCATTGGCAATTGACAAAGTCTCGGACAGAGATGATAGTCAGTACTCATGTCAGTCATGGATCCACAGTCCATCAATTGAAAAAGTAAGCCATCCCATCCCATCCTCATCCTTTTCGTAGTCCTAATCCTATGGAAACTATGGAACCAAGTTTGTGTATATGCAACATGTTTGTTGGTCCCTGGGAGGACGAGCTTGGAGTTGAGGGGGTCGTGATCCTCCCCAACTCAAAAGTGAAGAACGTGCGACTGGGCAGTCACGTGGCCCAGAGTCGTGTGAAGCGGGTGGAGCATGTGGACAGTGCCGACGCTGGCGCCACCCACGAGAAGAACAAAGCAGCGCAGGTGGTTCATACCAATACAAAGGACTGCAACTTTGTACAAAAAGACTTCAGACTGAGACTTCAGGTTTCAGAGGTTTCAATTCAAGAGTTTCATTTCATTCAATTTCACTCCCCCACTGGACCACTGAATTTTTTGAGACTCAGACTCAGACTGCCAACTACCACTACCATTTGGAATCTGGGAAAATTTAAACACCAGTCACCAGCCAGTCTAAACCAACACCAATTTTGTGCCCAAGGAGGAAGAGGACAAAGCTTTGGGCAATGTGGTGGAGGAAGAGGAAGAGGCTCCTGAGCAACCAAATGATGAGCCTTCCGATTCTGAATCCTCTTCTCAGATCTTCGGGTTTGCAGCAGCAGCAGCTCGAAAGCGCCCCACGAGGACAAGAGGAGCAGAAGAACAAGTTCCCAAAGCCAGGAGAAAAGGTACAGCTCCAACTCCGGCTCCTGCTGCCGACGATGACAAGAAGGATGAACCAATCAAAACTACTAGACAGGCGAAGGGCAAAGGCACGGACACAGCTGTGGCCAAAGCTGACTCCTTCATCTCTTTCGTGAACAGCTTGGAGCCTTTGGCAGTGTGGCAAGGCACTGTGAAAGCCTCAGACATTGATGCCAAATCAAGCAAGGCTGTGGAAGTCATGAACCAGTTGGCTCTGGCTGGGGGTAAAGACCAGAAAGCAGAGGCTTTGTCGGTCAAGCTCAGTGACACAATCAAGCAGACTTGTAATCTTGTCGACTATTTGACCGGCTTGCAGAACAAGCTGCAAAATTTGCAAACCAGAGCAACACAGCCATCCGAGAGGCACAGTCCTATGACCATGGAACCAGAAGAGAGGAAGTACTTCAATCATCTGCCAAAGAATGTTGCCCATGCTATCTTGACCGACTTTGGGCGAGCCGCAACGGAGGCCAGAATGTTACTGTCTACAAGTGCTGAGTGCAGTGAGACTGTTGCATTTCTCAGTCTAGATTATCAGATTGGAGTCTCATAGAGTGAGCCAAGTCATTCATACACAAAAAACGACACATTTTAAGCCACATTACTATACTAATAACTAACATACATACAGTACTACATTACAGTATATACAATTTAATACAGATCTCAGATCATATCAACCAAACCAAACCGTGTAGCCCTGTAGGCATGCTTCAATGGGGTGAGTGAGAAGTCTACCTTTTGGGAGTTCATCACGATGCAGCAGGTTCCACCGGAGGGTGAGACACCGTTTCGACTTGGCTTGTTTGTCGGTGGCAGTCTAGACCAGGAAGAGCTTTTCAACCTTCAAGTCAACCTTTTCCATGGATGGATGGATAAGTTCAGATCAGCCAGTCCAGAATGCACAGACGAAGTCTTGGATTGGATCCCTACTCCCAGTGTGCTCTGGGGCCTTCAGCATGTCAGGACAGGGACGTAGGGAATCAGAATTGGGTTTACGAACAGTCACTTATTACTGTGCAGTTGTGAGATGGCAGGTCACCCAACAACAAAATACCTAGACAGGACACACACTGTCACTGGTGACATACAATAATAACTTCTACTTCCACCCTGGCAGGACATCTCCGAATCAGACGCAGGAGGAAGGGGATGAGAATCTCCAGGCTGAGCATGGTCTTTCTCCCAAGATCCTTCATGATTTGCAGAAGTTCTTAGCATGCTCCTACGCTCTTTTCCATTCTCAGGGCAAGGCTTTGGACCAAAAGATTCTGCAGGATTTGCAGGCTGTGGCGCCAATGTCCACTCGCTTTTCACCTCGCTGCAATTTGCTTTTCCGCACCAACAACAGACTCAGGACCTCACCTTGCAAAAACCGGCGGTCAGTGGGTCAAGTGAGTGTTGTGTGTGATGTGACACTTTTGATTGAAGTTCAGAAGTTCAGTTCAATTCACAGTGATATGTTTTTTGCTAGGACTTTGTGGGGCGAAGTGACAGATTTGGCAAAGCTGGCCATCACTGACAGCAAGGTCTTGGAAGAGTCTCTTTCACTAGCTGACAAGGTGCAGAATCTAGTGACGGAATTGGGAAATGGCTCTTCTGAGACAACCAGCTGGGACACTATTTGCAAGATGATCTTTCAGTGTGCCCCCGCTCATTCGTGCTGTGATGCTTGCGGCAAGTCAGATAAGGAAGGTGCAGCAGAGGCGTTTGAGAAGCTGAAGTCCGCCATGGACGGTCTTCTTCCTCTGTTGGACTCGTCCACTTTGGAGCCAATGATCAAGGACTTTGAGAAGCACATCAGTGACTTTTGGCTTTGCACAGAACCAAAGGAGCTCAAACTTCCATGTCAGAACAACCCAGCTGCAATGCTTTGCCTTTGGAAAGTGGCATCTCGAGGCAGGTTTTTTTGGGGGATGATTCGATCAATGAACAATGACAATGACAAATGATTCATGAAGTTTTTCTTTTGGGGTGGCATGCGGTATAGGGCATGGGATTGAATCAAACGAAGACATAACAATACCCTGTTCTTGAGCTGTCATTCAATGTCTTTATTCTTCACACACGTTCAGGAATGGCTTGCAGCAAGGTGTTGCAGAAGGATCCTGCGTATCATGCAGCATTGGCCGGTGTAGCCAAGACTTTTCTCATGCACGGGCAGTACGAGCAGCCTTCTTTGCAGCAAGCCTGCTCATTTGCCTCAGACATGCAGAAAGAGCTTTTGAGTTGCCAAAAGCTGGAGGGTCTTCCACGATGGGTGAGGGAGAGCCGTCTAGCCATGGAGAGGTTTACAATGTCAGTGACTTTGCACGCCAAGGAGATGTGGAAAGAGATGATCAGCTCCTCAGGTGTTGAACACACGATTTCCAAGATCGAGGAGGACAAGTTGGACATGCCTCCAGAACTTGGAAAATGTTTCTCTGTGCTGAAGCAGGGCAAGCTCATTTCCGAGCTGAAGGAGGAGCCAGGGGACTCCATGATCCAGAATGTGAAGAACATGTTCACCCTGGCATCGCTCGAGATAGAAAACATCAGGTACTTCTTCCCCGAGGTGTTCAAGATTGTCGAGACCTACAGCAACCAGGTGCGTGCAGCCACTACAAAGAATCTCAATGACATCGGAGACTGCATCAAACAGGGTCAGAAATTATTTGAGCCTTTGAGGCCAGACTTTCAAGATTCATTGATTGGTTTGAAATGGCAGTCAAACGTTAGGCGGTCCAATTTATTGACTATTTGGTTCGATTCATTGATCGACAGTAGACAAGCAGATGGTCACTGCCACTGTCACAATTGTTCTGAGTGTGAATCTAACATTACCCATTACCCTCTTGACCCCTCCTCTCCACAGTTCATCAGACAATGAATTCAAACCCCTTCAAGGCCCATTGTGGACTGTGTCACACACTGGAAAATGGACCCTATTTTGCCACTTCTGACAGAGTCCGGTACCAGCAAGATCTTCAAGGATATGGCAGATTGGCGCTATGACGCACTACCGCACCTTGATCTCTTGAAGGTCATCCTGTCTTGGAAGACCTCCCGCAATTCTGGAGAGGAGATCATGTCCATGGCAGCTCCACTGAAAAAGGATTTGGAGGACTGGACTTGACTCACAAATGACAGATTTGACCTGACCAAACTTTTGAATGGAACCAACTTATTTTCAATCCAGGATCCAGGTACTCAGGTACTGACAAAACAATGTCAATTTATGCATTGTATTTGGAAGAGATCAGTTTAGTGTGACTGTATGTGTGTGTGTGTTTCAGTTTGTTTTCCGTGTCACCTTTTCACCATTTCAATTTCACACTTTGGTTTCACCGTTGGTTTTGTTAGGAGCTCCGCCAAATTGGTGCCCTTTCTTGTGCGTGTGGGCTTGCTGCTGAAGCAGTGGTGAATGCTGAGAAGTACGATGACCAGTTGAAGACGTCCAGGAAGATTGCTCAGTACATCAGTACACATTTTGGCCTCTCAAAGGAGGACTTGCCAGAGACATTGCGCCTCAAGTTTGAAGAGTTTGCCACCAAAGGCAAGGAAACGTGACTTTGTCTCTATTTCATGACCAGCCAACTACCAACAAAAAAACAGTACTGTAACACACTGTGACACTGTGTATTAAAAAACACAAAACTCCAGACTCCAAACCTTAAATTTTGCCTGATCTCATTTCATCCAAACCCACCCCACAAATAGAGTATGACGACTTGACTGACTCTGTATTGGATTTTTCATTGGACTACGGACTACCAACAACTGAACTACCTCCTTCTTGATTGGATTTTTGCAATCTCAGGCATGAAGAGCCTCCCAAAGGGAACGATGCCACTGCTGCCCCAAAAAAGCGGGCACAGACCAGGTCACCTGCTACCACAGCACCCAAAAAGGCAGCAAAGGCTGCCAATGGTGGCAAGAAGAAATAGTTTTGCAGTTTGATCAACTTTGGTTGATTCGGGGTCTTGTGCCATTCAAGAGAATGGAGTTGGAGTGGATCAAACCAGCTGACTCAGCTGACCGCGTGAAAAAGAAGAGGCAAAGTCACTGGCAGGGAGCTTTTGCTTCAGTTTGTCACATGCTTTTGGTCACATTAGCTACCAATCTTGACATGTGTACTGTGTACAGCTGTGTACACCAGGTACCCCCCAACATTTGTTATATATAGTTTTGGGAAAGTTATATATAGTTTCAGAGTGTCTGGGGGCCATCTTGGATAAAGAGGCCCACCCAGACCCTAATACATACATACATATAATATACATATATATATATATTCATGCTGTTGTCATTGATTGGTATGTTTCATCATCTTACTACTTTCTCTTGATGCAGACTTGTCTCTTTCAGAGTTCCTTAGGATCATTGTTGGGTGCGAGGTTGCCATGACCTAGAAGCAGGCTCCATGCCTGGCTCAAGAAGCAAGAATCTGGCACAAGAAATCCGCCCGCACCGAAGGTGCTGAGGCGTTTTATAGGGCACGCATAATACCGCAAGTACCGCAAGTAGTACTGATAGCTTTAGCTGGGAGGGGGGGGGCATTTTCGCTCTAGAATACTGTGTTTTTTCACGTTTTTGGAACCGGCTTAAAGTGCTGGAAGATAAATTCGTGTTAATTTTTGCTATCTTGAAGCCTTTAGTGATGCAAGAAATGCAATTTTCTGCTTTGCATCATCTGCATCATCTGGACATTTGGCTGAACAGGTTCCCCTAACGGGGCTCAACATAGCTTCCATATTGCGTAACCACTATCTAACGGACGTGTCTGCGAGATAGGGACTTGAACGTCCGGGTACGTGGCTGGTCGGGCAGAGATAAGCAGATCAGGTCCAGGAACGGTAACATTATCTCACGAGCATAGCTCCCATATGGTCGAACATAACCCCAGAAGTCACTATCTCAAGTATGCTTCCCCGAGATAGGTACTTGAACGTCGTAAACATGGCCCATCGAAGGCTCAAAAGGGACTGGAATAGAGTGAAGATATTGCCTAACATAGCCCTAGAAGTCACTATCTAAAGGACGTGTCTGCGAGATAGGGACTTGAACGTCGTAATATTGCGTAACATAGCCCTAGAAGTCACTATCTAACGGACGTGTCTGCGAGATAGGGACTTGAACGTCCGGGTACGTGGCTGGTCAGGAGCAGAGATAAGCAGATCAGGTCCAGGAACGGTAACATTATCTCACGAGCATAGCTCCCATATGGTCGAACATAATAACCCCAGAAGTCACTATCTCAAGTATGCTTCCCCGAGATAGGTA